CCTGGATGTTGAAACCATGCTTACAGCATCATGCATCATGGGCCTCAACAACCACGGCTATGAGTTATGAGCAAAGTAACTCTACTTGTAACCACCATGCCCTAAACCCCAAGTTAAGAGTCCTAAACCGGAATCCAGGCTGAAAGAACAGGGTTTGGGAGTTTTGGGTTTAGGGTTTGGGGTTCGGGGTTAGGGTCAGCTTCCCGGAGTCCTGGTCGTAGTAGGACCAATGAAGATGGGTTGACCTTCGTCGGAGGCGCTCTTTTCGGATAGAACAGAGAAGCCCTAAACCTTAAACCCTAAGCCATAAACTCCTAAACCCTAAACCCGAAACCCTAAACTCCTAAACCTAAACTCCTAAGCCCTAAAACCCTAAACTCCTAAACCCTGAACCCTAGACCCCACTCGGAGCCGCAATGGCAGTCCTTTCCCTTGGCCTCGTGCTCTCCGATTCTTTCCACTCTGGGGATCTAGGCCTGGAAACCCGAAGCCGAAACTCTATAAAATGCTATACAATTCGGGTCTAAACCCTGAAACTCTCAAAAAAATTGCTGTAGAGTCAAAGTCGACACGATAAATGCGACACCACAAGCCGAAAGCAAGAAACCGAACCCCACAAAGAAAGCAGAAGCACGAGGATCTTGCAATTTAGGTGTTCTAGGACTCCTCCAAAGGTAGGAACCCCCCCCCTCCCAAACAAAAAAAGGAAACGAAACACACACACACACACTTACTTACTTAGGGTTTAGGGTTTAGGTTCTAGGTTTTAGGGTGCATCCACGGGGTCGCTGAGTCTTTGGCCCGAAATACAACTTGGCCAAAAAAAGACTCAAGCTCAGAAGGCCCGTTTAGGGTTTAGGGGTTTGGGGTAAGGGTTTAGGGTGCCCCGGAACCCCAGAATGCGAGGTTTGAAAGAAGACGGAGCCCTAGATCCCGGAGCTTTATGAAGAAGAGCCCCAGATCCCTAGAAGACCCCTGCATCCCCTAGGAAGGGTCAGGTTTTTGTGTTTAAGGGTGCAACGTTTAGGGTTTAGGGTTTGATCCTAAACCTCGAACTCTCAACCCTAAACCCTGAGCCCCTAAACCCTAAACCCTAAACCTCAAACCCTCAACCCTAAACCCCTAAACCCTAAACCCTAACCCTAAACCCTAAACCCTAAACCTCGAACTCCTCGACTCCTCAACCCTGAACCCTGAAGCCCCTCAACCCTTAAAAGCCGGGGTGACATTCCCCAGGATCGCTTCGTCTTCGTCGGCAGCTCGGGCTTCAGGCACGCATTGGAGCTGCCGTGCTTGGCGCAGTCCTGGAGGGGATGCAGCTGCTAGCAGTTTCAGGGCTTATAGGGTCTTCGGGGTTTTGGGGGTTTAGGGTCTTAGGGGTTTAGGGGTTTAGGGGCTTAGGGTTTAGGGGTTTAGGGTTTAGCGTTTCTGTGTTCTTGTTACGGAAACTTAATTTAAGTGACCAGAATAGGGATCTATAGTAAATAGTAGGGCTTCCTTATCATGGAAACTTAAATTAAACTCCTTAACAAGAACCCAGGCTAGTGGTTTCAGGGTTTGGGGTCTAGGGTTGAAGGTTTCAGAGCTTTGGCTATTTCTTTTGGAACTGCCAGCATGGGTTTGGGCACTGTATCTCTGTGTTGGGGGGGTTCATGTTCCGCTTTTGGTGTGGCTCTTTTGCCTTTTCGAATTCAAGGCTAAGGGTTTTACGGCATTGCCTCGTTTCGGGTACGCAGTGTCCCGTCGCAGACCCAAGTCCCAAGAGGTCACGCAAGACACCGCTACTCGTGCCGCCAAGGCTTCAGAATCCTTCACAACAGGTTGCTTGGGCTAGCCTTTATGAACAGGACCAAGAAAGCCTAGGTTCCACGTCCAAAGCAATAAAGGCTATGTATGTACACAGCTCGCGATGAGAAACTAGGGGGCACCTCGGGCTCCTACACTGCCACCCGACACACCCTGTATATCAACCACGGACTCCCAAAAGTAAAAGGAAACTCCAGGTGGGAAGTGTAGGGTACATAGAGCTTCTATAAGGCTTCTATAAGGTATATAGACCTTCTATAAGGCTCCTATAACCGTAGGTTGAAAATGTCCGGCAGTCCGGAAGGCACTTGTGGGAGGCTGCCGCGGAGCGGTAGACATGCCGAAAGCTCCCGAGAGGCTGCGGTGCGCGGAAGTTGTCGAGCAGGGACACGTTCTGCTTGTGTCTCGCGTGGCCGGCCTCTCCACACCAGACAAGAACCGATCACAGCAAGGGCAAGAATGAGGGGAATGACTTGAAAAACAAAACACGTCGGGAAGAAGGACGGGACAACGCCTCCAGGAGACTACGAAAGGACAGAAACCAAGCAAAGGCACAACAGCAGCAAGAGCAACTGCCGCAGCAGCAGCAACAGCAGCAGATATGATGATGATGATGATGACGATGACGATGACGATGACGATGATGATGGCAGCGTATAACTGCATAACAGTATCCTGTTGTGATATCGATGTGATGATGTTGGTGGGTGACCATGCTGACGATGATGGATGGCGGTGGTGACGATGACGATGATGATGATGATGATGATGATGAACATGTTGGCATAGCTATACTGGCAATGACGGTCATGACGATGGTGGTGAACGATGATCCTGTGCATACTCATTATTAAGTTGCTTCTGGCAATGGGGCGATGATGATGATGATGATGACTCGATGATGATGAATATGATGGCCACCGTTATGGTGATGATGGCGAAGAGGAGGACGAGGACAACGCAGATGCGGCAGCAGTAACCGCAACAAACCAGCATAACGCAATCATGTCCACCATGACTGCTATCAACCTGCCGTGTCAAGACCTTCAGCTACTAGGGTCAGCCTCTGCAGAGAGCACGGCATGCAAGAGGAGAAGCTTGGCAGCAGCCAAGTTCATGGCACTGAGGGTCGCCTGTGTCTAACGGAAGGTCGTAGAAGTCTTGAGCCAGGAACCTGCCCAGACCTGTTAAGGGTTTAGGGGTTTAGGGGTTTAGGGGCTTAGGGTTTAGAGTTTAGGGCTTAGGGTTTAGGGTTTAGGGGTTTAGGGGTTTAGGGCTTTAGGGTTGAGAGTTTAGGGCTTAGGGCTTAGGGTTTAGGGCTGTTGTGCACGACTATCATGACACCTCCCCTGCAGGGAAGTCTTACCCAGCTCGTCGAAGAAGATACCCCAAACCCTAAACCCTAAACCAAAGCTCGGTGCGCCGGGCAGGCACGGGCTTTCCGAAGGCTCCCGTAGGACGGGGAGTCAACGACCATCGATCCGGTGCAACTTTAGGGTTTAGGGGTTTAGGGCTTTAGGGGTTTAGGGCTTTAACTTGGTCTGGGGGGGGGTCTCAGGCATAAAGTTTAAGATAATAGCATCTGCACATCAGCAGCAGCGGCAGTAGCAGCAGCGTGTAGTGAAGGTGGTGTTGGAATACACCGAACACCACGGTAGGCTTGGGCCCTCAAGCAGGAAAAGCTGCTGCACTTCCTTGAGGTCTAGGTCTAGGATGTCAGCTAACGTCAGTATCTCCTAAGTTGAGCTTACACCAGCAAATGCTGATGATCCTAACCACTGACTGCCAGCCATCCGTGGGGCTCTTTTTGGTGACTGTGAGTTTCCTTCTCGTCGAGCGGTCTAAGCCAAGGACCACGGAAGAACCCTTGCAAGAGACCTGCACCAGTAGCCGGTGGAGTTTGCGGTTCCGGGCTTCGGGTTGAGGTGGGTCTGAACCTTGGCATCACGAAACCCATGAACGCTAATCCTCTGAACATGCATTCCAACCGTGCGCATCCCGTTACCTCGCTCAGTCTATTTACCTTATCTAAGGAACCTCCTAAACAGGGCCCGGTACCTCCTAGTTGGGACCCTGGGTTCTCAATCTTCTTTTGGTTTGGGACTGCACAACAGACCTCAAGGCCGGGCTCACGATTGCTTCCCGTTTGGTTTGGAACCTTCGGAAGCTGCCATTCTGCACTGCAAAGACACGGTGATAGCACATCGCAAGGAGACGAGCCTTTTCACTTGCATGGACGAGCCGGCTTGGGCTCCGACGCCGGCGTGGATGCTCAGCTATGGGCACCTGTCCAAGGAGAACTGCACCTTTTTCAATCTCCTCTAAACCTAACTGGAACCATCCAACATCTTCCCACTATCCTGACGCTTGGAACGGGAGTAACCCCAATGGCCGGAACCTGTAAGTCTGTGTGCCACAACGACCCCTGTATTAGCAGTCCAGAGGTGTGCATTGGGGCTTCGGAGTCCGTTTGGAAGGTTTCCTGAGGAATGCAGATTGAGACGATTCGCGGGATTCAGAGACTGAAGCGACCCCTGAGGTGAACCCTGAATGGCGGAATCCTTATGACAAGCTCTATCTGAAACAGCCGGAAAAAGGAACTCCTTAGCCTCCCGTCCCCTAGACCCTAAACCCTAAACCCTAATTCCCTCCATCATGCTTGCCTCCCTGTGCAGAGAGGTGCCCTCGCACTTTTTACTGTGACCTGAAGCGTCAATCGAGGTCATACTAAGGGTTGTGGGCACAAGGAGCGTTCGTGCCGATGCCCTCGATCCTAATATTGACCAGACCATCCCGCCGTAGACGAAGCTTTAGCGGCAGCCGAAGGCGAAGAAAAGCAGCTGCTTGAACTATCTGGCATCCCTGGCACGGCGGTGGGGCGGTGGTGGTAAGACTTGAGAACGGATGCACAATGGGGCACAGGCATCTGCACATGTTCACGAAGAACAGCTGCACCTGCCAAGACGCACTGTAGGGAATAGTCCCTTCATTCCCTCCATCATGCTTGCCTCCCTGTGCAGAGAGGTGCCCTCGCACTTTTTACTGTGACCTGAAGCGTCAATCGAGGTCATACTAAGGGTTGTGGGCAGAAGGAGCGTTCGTGCCGATGCCCTCGATCCTAAGATTGACCAGACCATCCCGCCGTAGACGAAGCTTTAGCGGCAGCCGAAGGCGAAGAAAAGCAGCTGCTTGAACTATCTGGCATCCCTGGCATCCCCACCCCCCCCCACCAGAGGAGCACGGCGTAGGTTCAGCCCGAGCAGGACAATCATAACAATGTCGACTGGGCGGGTCGGGTGGGGCGGGCTGTCCGAGCCTGCAGCGGCAGGCGTGGCAGGCAGCCCATGTGTCAGCAGTGGGGGTGGCGCCGGCGTCACATGAGGTACCACAAAACCCAACTGCTCATAAAGCCATGTGGCCACATTGCTCTCAATCTCCATGGCAGCCAAAGTGGCCTGCATCCACAGCTCTCTGACAACATGAAGAGCGAGGCCCGTGATGGAACGGCAAACCAGGCGGATGCAAAGGGCTATGACTAATGCCACCACGCGAGGGAAGAGCACCGCCGTGAGGAACAGGATGGCCATCAACCATTTCCAGCGCGCGGGCCAGCAAAAAGTCGCCAAGGACCGAGCCGACGTCGAAGAAGATTTCTGTGCCCTGTCCTGGACGACGGCGGCACTGGAGCCACGCAAAGGGAGAGGCCGCACTGGAGAGGGTACAGCGCCGCCTTGTAAGCCTTGCGCTGGGGCTTCCACGAAACTTTTCAACACCTGCGAGACGCGCGCCAGGACCGAGGTCATGCGCCGCACCGAGTCACCTGTGCGCCAGCGAGCCGCTTTAGCCACCTCTTGGGGATCCTCAAGCAGCTCCGCGGCGCTCAGGCCTCCCCGCTCGACAGGCTGGGAGCCCAGAGAGGCTGCCGCCACCTGAACTGCTTGCAGGACTCCTTCCGCTGCTTCATCCGCGTTGGCGGGCGCCACAGCATCATCGGCGTGCCGGGGAGCGCTGCCTGCGCGACTTGTAGGGCCCGGTGTTGGTCTGCGACTCACCGACGGCGGGCGGGACAGGTGTAGAGTCGCCCTGCGGGTAGGTTCCATTGAGGGCGACGAAACCGCGTAGCAAAGTGGCGCTGTTTGCCTCTGCTGAAGAGCTAGCCGAAGGCACCGACGGCGAACCAGAGCTCGTAAGGGAAGTAGCGGCCTGGCCCTGTCCCGTCAAGCGTGGTGTGTACGACTAGGCATCAGCATCCCCGATCTAGCAACCTTGTCCGAGCCCACTGCGGAGGAGCCGATAAGCTGTCTACGTGCTCAAACGCAAGTGCCAGCAGTTCCTTGGCCTCGGGTGGTGCATTAGCTAGCGTGTGCACGGCAAGCGCATCTTGTAAATAGTGATGCAGTGTTTCAGGTCGGCGCCATCTGCCTGCAAATTGGAGAATGGCAAAGTTTTGTGTGGTTTTGAACATATGACATGCTCCTCCGCCCCGCAACGATCCTAATGTCATCCCACAGGTTTGAAGGGACAACGATTCCAGGATCTCTTTGAGCAGCAATCCCCACTTGCGTTTGCTGACCATTAGCAGGCGATCACGTTTCCGAAGTCCTGCACACCACCATTGTAGCCATGCAATGAGGCGAGGGCACCTAATGATCACGAATTGGTTCGCCCAAACCCGGCGGGTTTTCGCCTGCCGGATGTTGATAACGAGACCGACCCCTTCGCTAAGCTCTGCGTGTTCTGGGAAGCAGAGATCATCACACACCAGCCGGTCCACTTCCCCTGGTCGCAGTAGCCCTTCGAAAGCCACCCACAGCGCCAACATCACTGACATCCACTCCAGTCGCGAACGACCGTGTACTGCACATACTCGACCTAGGCAAGTTACCAACACACACCGGAGCACGTAATACGTCATCGGTACTCTGGGTAGGATGGGCTGCAGCAGTCGCCAGGATTTTATCGCGGCCCACGTACAGCGCAAAAGTGGCGCTGAAAGCTTGAAACGCCGTTGGATGCTGAGGACTGCTAGGGCGGTCCAGTAAAGCTTCTCTCCATGCGTAAATGACCAATCTACCATTCGTTCCAACCACATGTCGACATGCCGTGAAGAGCTCTTGGAATGAAGATTCCCACCAAGATCCGAGACCACTCCCAATGCCCAACCTCCAGCCTCACGCAAGTGCCTTCGGTACTGCGGCGTCAGGTTGATCTCCCTGAGCCGCCGCCCCCGTGCGCCAGATGAAGCAGGCATCGGCAATGGCAGCAGCGAAGTCGTACGGGTATGCACCAGGGGCTCGGGCCCGAGCTCCCCGGAGTGAACATCCATGGGTATGATTTCTCGGGCATCGTTTGAGAGCGGAGGTGATCCATGGTGCATTGGTCATCACTGTGATGGTTCTGCGATTTGGGGGAAATTCCGGACACTCACCAACGAAGGCACACAGATCAGCTTTCAAGAAAGTGACTCCAGGAAGTCGCTGCATGCGTTGAGTCTCTGGTAGCAACCATGCCTTTGATCCAGCAGGGTGCTCAATGACAAAGAAGCCATTCTCCTGGGCAATTTGCGTGGCCAGACCAAGCGCCCTTCCCCACACTTGATTCGCTCTCACCACCTCAGGCTTCGACTCGTCCCCTTGAGGTCGACCCGCAGGCCGCAGAGGACCTGAAGCTCCGAGATCACGGAGACGCGAGAAAGTTGAACTAGGAGGAGCCAGCCAGAGCCACTGCACAAGACGCTGAGAGATCAGGCAGTCGATGACCCCGTTAAAAACACCCTGATGTTCTAGCAGATTCTCGCCATACTCATCAAACCTGCGCATGTGTAGCCCGCGTTGTAGATGCGCAGCTGTTATCACTCCTGCCCCATAGAAAACCTCAAGCCCGCAAAAGCACGCGCAATTCCCGACGCCATAGGCTCGGAGCCACGCGGGTGCAGTTCTTGGTGCAGGCACCGGCTTCCACCTCGACGGGAAGTCTGCGATATTTGATTCGGTTTCCACCCATAAGAGAGCGAGGCTCACTCGCCCCATGATGAGGTAAGGCAGCAACCCTCTCAAAATGCTGTTGAGCTTGATTGAAGATGAGCGCCCTTTGGAGAATGCATACACACAAACAAGCGAGTCATTGAAGCAGATCTGAATGGACTTGCCTCGGTCGTACTGGCTCGCCAGAATACGGAGCTCTCGCCGGAGAGCTCGCGCCTCTTGCAAGTTTATGTGGCTGCTCTCTCTAAAGCTGTAGCTGGCAGTCTCTGCCCAGGGTAAGCTCTCTGCAACTGCACTTGCGAAGGCCGAAGTCTCGGTCGGCTCCGGCGGTTCCTCAGTGGCCAAATTGCGATCAAGCTGGATAGGAGCTCCTTTTACTTCGGACCTTCGCCACAACTCCTGGACCAAGCTGTGCGGGGCTTCGGCCCGAACTGCTCCCCCCGACGTCGGGGTCGCATCGGTGGCAAGGATAGAAGAGCTTAACTTGTACCGCATGTCCCACTCAACGAAAACCAAATGAAGACTGAGACTATGTAGTTCGTCTACCACATAACTCCGTAATCGCACCCACTTAGCGTCGGGCATTTGCCAGTAGGTGTAAATGCGATGCTGCAAGCAGAAGAGCTCCCTGCGGAACAAGAAAGCAAAAGCCAAGAAGCCGTTAACCTTCTCAAGCACACTCTTGCACGCCCACCCAGACTCTACGATCAAGGAGATCAAGTACCACACCTGTTGACGAATCTTCTTCGGAGCTCCCACACGACCTCGGATGCCACATACTTCAGCTCCCCACGCCTTGAAGCTACACTCTGCCCTGAAAGCTTTGTGCAACGCGCGCTTGAGGTTTGCCTTGTCGTAGATGTCCTCGGCCGCCTTCACCAGCTTCATGTCAGGATCGTCAGCCTCGGCGAGCGGGGGAATGAAGGAACCATCAAGGGGGATGGGGTACTTGAGCGTCTTGCGGTACGAGATGAGAAGATCATCGATGTAAACACCTTGCCAAAGGTCACGACTGGGAGCCGCCTTACCATACACGAGTGTCTCCTGGGGCTCCAACAGGCCGCCTTTCTTCAGGATCGCCTCGTGCGTGGCTTGAGCTATAGCGCAACCATTGCGGTCGCCCATGCCCAACACCCTGAAACAGACCGATCGCCGCCGTGACGCTGAACCACTTCCGGGTCCACCCTGCGGCCGAAGGAGTTGTAACGAACCCACTTTTCAGGAAGCCGAAGGGTGTAGTAGAAGTTTCTGAGGTCATCGCCTGATGCACGCAAGTACTGAGTGTCACCTAGCAACATTCTGGTATAACACGCAGCAGATGGAAGAGAACCCCAATCAAGTCTCATCATCGTGGCATTCTCTGGTCGGCGGTCAAAGATCAACCGGTCTTCAGCTTCATTCTTAGGCACAGCAAATAAGCCCCCCGACAAAAGATGGCCCTCAGGTCCTCGAGGAAGCACGTCCTCCCGAACCAGCACTGCCATGCGTGTCGTCAAAAGCTTTTCACACATCGCGGCCTCCTCTGAGAGAGGCACCCTGTGACAGGGTACACATCGCGCCTCCCACAAATGAGGCTCTTTCCGGATCTGGTCTAGGTCCTCCACTATCTGTGCCTGCTCGGGTGGCAGCCATTCCAGTGGATCCACGCAGCCAGCTTCCTCCGGCACTGCCACACGTTTTGCCGTGACGGCCATGGCCGAAGAAGGAGTCGAAGAAGCAGCCTGAACAGACTCGCAGTACCCTGAGGCCGCAAAACCCTCAACTTGGCGCAAAAGCGCCTCCACAGTCGCTCGCTTGCCTTCACAGCGCAAACGACCCAAAACTAAATCAGGGCTTGCGAATTCAAGAGTCTCGCCAAGTAGTCTGTCGGCGAAGCTCCGAGCCTCGCTGGCAGATCGATAGACCACTCGCGGCTCATGGGCACCACCCGGGCAGCCGAGGACAACAAAGTTCGACCAGGCGACGAAGCCGTTGAGGAGGTGCTTCGCCCAGATCAAACAAGCCTCAGCCTCCGACCCTGCTTCCTTGATCCGCAAGATTTCAGGGTACGGGAGGGCACATGGAAATAACAGACATTCATCTCCGGACCGTTCCGGCAACAAACCTTGGACGCTCTGGAACCAGGTCATATACTTCATAAAATTTGAATTCCTTTCAAAAAAGTTCGGCAGCCTAAGGCGCAGAACTTCCGCATGCAGTGTCTCCTCGGATGTCACTTGCGGTTGGTTGCCAAGGCGTCCTCGTCCTCGGCATCCGCACCACCCTGGGCCTCCCGGACTTTCTTCTTGAGCTTCATCATCGCATCCATGTACCCGGACACCACGCTCATCTCCTGCTTGGTGCCGGCCCATTCCTTCTTGTGCAGCGGGTCTGGGAGCCCGGTGAGCAACCAGGCTGTATCCCAGTCCCCTAGGTTCAGAACCGCCTGTATCTTTGCTTTGAGATTCTGGACGGTCTGTGCCGTCGCGACGTCGTGACGGCCTGCACGCAGGTGCTCGTACACTGCTACGTCCATCATCGCACATCGATACAGTCCTTTGTACCGCCCCCAACTCTGCTTCTTGACAAAGTCCCGGAGTGTCCACGCTTGTCCAGGTGTCACCCCGAGCTCCTTCACGACTTCGGCTTCGAAGGCCTCGTAGATCCTTTTCGGCTTCCGGAGAATCTGAGCATGTAGCCGATGAAGACTGTTTACCGCCTTCATCCCTCGGGCCTCCTCTCCTTCTCCTCCGCTGTCCGAACTGTCTGAGCTTGAACCACCAAGGGGATCCGAAGAGGATGCGCTGCGGCGCTTGCTCTTCTTTCGCTTTCCTTGGTTCACCAACTGACTGAGCAGCACCACGGTGAGCAAGTCCTTGGTCTCCCCGGCTCCCGAAGCCAGGCTGGCCTGAAGCAGTCCTTTTATATCTAGATCCTCCTCCTTCTTGTCCTTCTTCTTCTTCACGTCCTTGGAGCTCCGGGCTGCGCTCTGTCCAGGGGCTAAGTGTTTCCGATCGTCTTCGGCATCTTCGTAGTCGGTCTCTTCCTCGACGTCGTCGTCGTCGCTGGCACCCGTCTCGAAGAAGCGGCTCAAGCCCCCTAGTTCCTTGGCTAGGCGGGCACTCTTCGCACCAGCCTTGGCCTTGGGCATCTCGGCCTCGCTGCTTTCCAAAGCCTTCTGAGCGACCTTCTTCCAAGCAGCTTGGCATGCCTGGAGGCTCGGAACGTCAGCGATCCTTGCACCTGTCCACCCGCTTGGTCTCGACAAGGAACAAGCAGCTGAAGGAACTCGGACGAAACCAACATCCACTCCGTCACTCTTCGCAGTTGTCTTCTGTGCCACTCCCGCTAAAAGTGATGGCTTAGTGGAAACGATCACGTCCCCTTCAATCAGTTCGCTGACCCATCCAGCTAATCGCAGCGCAGTGTCAGGTAGACTACGTCCCCTACACTAACAGACATCCTTAAGACTTGAGAACGGATGCACAATGGGGCACAGGCATCTGCACATGTTCACGAAGAACAGCTGCACCTGCCAAGACGCACTGTAGGGAATAGTCCCTTCAGCCCTAAACCCTAAACCCTAAACCCCTAAACCCCTAAACCCTAAACCCTAAGCCCTAAACCCCAAACCCCAAACCCCAAACCCGAGGCCTCTGAGTCAGGAGATGCCAGCGAGGAGCTCC